CATTTAGCCTGTAGTAAACCATATTTTTAATAACATACACTTTTTAACCCATAAATGGCTAAAAAGAGTAACATTGTTTGTTAATGGGAAAAGTGAACACTTCTAGCTCAGGACTGATTTGACATCACGATTTTAATACATATATATAAAAAGGGCATTCAATACAAAATTAATCTCATTGTATGTTTAGTATGACTCGTGATGGACAACAACATAGAGGAACCAATAGTTGATTTCATGAAAGTCGAGTGGCAGAGGGGTAGGACTCCCGATGACATTAAGGACATATGTTTTCAATTATGTGCCGATTATTTGGGAGGCGTTTGGCCTCAAGTGTCCATCGATGACATCCAAGTGAAACGACTGAGCGGTGGTCTCACGAATCAGTTATACTATTGTGCTCTCAATGAAGACCTGAGGAATAATGATACGACTGAACCACAAGAAGTTGTCCTCCGATTATATGAAGCAAAACATTTCAATAATATGGATAATGAGGGCAATGAGAGACTTAGTGATACCATAATTTCAGTTATGGTCTCTGAATATAATTTGGGGCCAAAAATATACGGACTCTTCGAAAGCGGACAGATTTTGAAATATTATAAAGTACTGTATAATTGCATTAATTTCTTATTTGATTGTAACTTATTTTCCAATTTCATTATTATTCAAAGCATAAGCCCTTTAGATCTGACGAACAAAATGATGCCAAACTGGTCGACGAATTGGGCAAAAGGTTAGCACAGATACACGCCATGGATGTGCCCATCAAGAAGAAATGCATCTCTCTTTTAGACACATTCGGCAGCTTTTATAAGGAGGCAAACAATTCATATGATTTGCAAACATTGTATGAGGAATGCAATTGTCAATCATTGATGACATACGACTTGAAGGGAGAGTTAGAGTGGCTTCAGAAGACAATCAAAGACATTGACTCTCCGGTGATGTTCACTCACGTCGACTTCAGAGGCAACAACATTATGGTCACAGAATCGGATGGTTTAGTGATCATAGACTATGNGACTTGAAGGGAGAGTTAGAGTGGCTTCAGAAGACAATCAAAGACATTGACTCTCCGGTGATGTTCACTCACGTCGACTTCAGAGGCAACAACATTATGGTCACAGAATCGGATGGTTTAGTGATCATAGACTATGAATACTCGTCGTATACCTACCGGGGCTTAGATTTTGGGTCTCTGTTTGCCGAATGGGGCCGAGTTTGGGGAGAAGCCGACAAATTGCAGGACTTTCCCTCTGATAGTGTTATTAAGCCATTCATTGATTCATATATTTCTGAGTCGATTCGGTTGAGGGGCGAAGAGTTTGCCGACGATTTGAGAAACACTTGTCAACACATTTTAAACGAAACAAAATTGTTTGCTTTGGTGGCCAATATGTTTTTTGTTTTAATCACACTTAAGGCAACCGAGTCTGTAATCCCCGACTTTCCCTTTAATAAGAAAAATCAAATGGTATGAATAAATTAAATGTTTTATTTTATTATTATTTTGTTATTTAAATTATTTTTTATTCATTTCTGGCAGGTGTTTACAAATAACCAGTACAAGAATTATCACCATTTAAAACAAATATTTATAAATGATAATATTTTTTAATGAAAGTATTTGTTACATTTTATTTATCAAATTTATTTTATCTGTATTTACATCAATTATCGTTTTATTAAGCATAGTTTAAATTGTCAGCAAAAACTTTAATGACTTTAATTTGATATATTTTATTTCTAATAATTAATCTCATTTACTGTAATTTGAAGGTTAAGAGCTACAAGTTTGTAGTACAAACACATGAGTGAAAGTTGTACACTAGAAATAAAGTAAGATTTTATTATAAACTGCCCTCAACTGCACTTGTTTGGGTTGACCTCCAAGTCCGGATAATTTTCCATTACATAATCATAATGTTTGTCACCATTCATAATAAAAATACATTTAAGGGTATTACTTTATTAGAATATAAAGAATTTCATGATAAACGCTTATGTATATTCTTAGTAAAGTATCAAAACCCCCTTTTGCACAAACTAAAAGGTTTTGCACAAAATAATAAAATTGATGATAATAAACAGTATTATATAATTAAATTTTCATTTTATTATTTAATCGCTTTGTTCACAATACTTAAAGACTTATTTTGTGAATAATAATTTAGTTTTATATTCTATTATAACTACAGATGTTATTAATATTATTAAGAGAATACATAACTTGTAATAATATTATTATAGCATTATTTCTTTTTAATATAACGAAATGTCTATTATTTTTAACATGAAAACAGCACATATCACAAGAATCTAAAAATAAAGGTTTAAATATAGTTTTTAAAAGTAATTGTAGTAAAAATAGTATTTTATCATATTTACCTCATAAAAGTGTTTGTAATTTATTATAAAAAATTTATAGCAATAGAAACCAATTCTTTGTTGACTCAGTTTTTCCACAATTGAAATTAACTAAAAATCAAAATTAATAAAAATTTAATTATTTGAGTTAAAATTAGATACTTCTAACCTTTAGCTTAAAATGTGCTGAAATTGTAAGTTTTGTATAAAATAATTGAATAAACAATTTAGTAGTTTTGTTTGATTCAAAACTTATGGCCGATGTACTGATGAGGATTATATTTAAAATGCTAAACCAAACCAATGATATGTATAAAAATGCCATTTTTAAAAATAAATTAATATCTGCAAACAGACATGTAAATAGACTTATATTAATAACAAAAATATGGCTACAAATCACAAGACATATATATTTTGACCAAATATTTGCATTAATGTCAGCGATTTCTTTGTGGAGTGAATTCATGAAATAAATTGTATTTTTCATTTCAATCAAATTAAATCTCTTAAGATTTAATTGTGTTTTTATACGAATATTCAAACATTTAATTTTGAGTTTTAAATGCAGACAAATGAGATACAAGTAAATCATTTGATAGACGACATGAACGCCCATATAATAAGCGACCAAATTATTGATGGCAGACCATGGGATGGCAAATACAATAAAGTCTACGAAATTGGTTGCACTCAAAGCAAATGGATAATAGACAAAGAGACCACAGATTGGAAATGAATTTAACAATATACTTGACATTTTAAACAACATGTTTGCCCTTTTCAGCAGTTGTTTCACGTATTTTCGGTTTGTGAGACCAACACTTTCTGGTGATATCAAACCAGACATCATATCAAACGGCATTAAATATATTGGTTTAGATTTGTTATTATAATTGTGGTACATGTGAATTAATTGCGACAATAATATAAAACTAATGGCAGATGATTGTGAAATATTCATATGATATCTGGCGCCTACAAATTGGGCCCAATCGCCGATTATGAGACAAAATCTGTCGGTTACCTCTTGGAGTCGCAAAGCAAATACATTTCTCATGAGAAGTATTAGAGTTGATATACAAATCAAATATCGATTGTATAGTTTTGACCGATTTTTCACACCATATTTGAATGAAGAGATACCATATCTGTATAAATGAGTTCCAGCCGATGGTATGATAAGGCTTTCCGGCAAAAGATTTATTAAAATTAATTCATTCATATTTCTGTAATATCTTAAATGATTTTTATAATTTTGAAACTTTATATTTTCTGCACAATATCTTTATACGTGAATTAGCAAAATAAACTTGAAGAATTTATGAATTAAATTTATTGATTAATGTGCAATCGTATCATATTCTCATTATCACTGATTTTATTGTCACGAATAGTACATCAATGTACTTTTATGGTTATAAATAATAATATATTGTTCCAATAATATTTTATTGCCTAACAGTAAGAGCAATAATTTTATAATTAATTGTATCTTGTTGTTTATACAATTTTATTTATTTATATAAATACAAGAATTGTTTTGGTTCTTCTTAATAAGTTTCATTCAAACAGTTGTTATAATAAATAATATTTTAAAGCCAAAATTAAGCCTAGAATACCGTGTCAATTGTGTGCATTAAAACTAAATTTTCATATGTCTTTATGCTAAAAGTAATCAAATATTTATTTACAATCAAATCAGAAATATTAAATAATATTTCAAATAACATATAACTCGAAAACCATTCAATAACTTTAACTCGAAATCAAAGTTAAAAGAAATTTCTGATATTAAAATATAGCTATAATTAAAAATTCATTCACTTTCAAGTGCATGCTCACTTAATGACAGTCAAGTACTACTAGTCTGTTAAGAATACTGTATTCCTAATGCACTTAATCTACTATTACTTCATAATTTTATTATATAAATAAGAGTCAAATTAAATGTTAGATAAAAATTACTGTAAATGAAAAGAAATTTACTGTATACAAATTTTAAAATTAGAATATAACTAGTATGTCAATTAAAATGACTAAAAATTCAAATGACCAGGCTCAAGAGTTTATGAAACTAGAGTTAACGAGAGGCGTAACTCCGGTTGATATTAAAGAGAAGTGCTTTCAATTATGTGTCGATTATTTGGGTGGCATTTGGCTGAACCTAACCATTGATGACATTGAAGTCAAACGAATAACCTCTGGTCTTACGAATCAGCTATACTATTGTGGTGTCAATGAAAACCATCGAAATAGCGATGAAAGTGTACCACAAGAGGTGGCCATCAGATTGTACCAGGATAAACATTTCAATAGTAATGGTGGTAACGAAAGACTCAGCGATACTATCATCGCTCTACAGGTGTCTCAAAATAATTTGGGACCAAAAATATACGGACTATTCGAAAGCGGACAGATTTTGAAATACTATAATGTATTCATTGAAAATAAAAATGTATTTTAAATTAATTCTAATATTTCTTGTATTTGTTGACAGCAAAGACCCTTTCGATCGGATGAGCAAAAGAATCCCAAACTTGTCAGAGAATTGGCTCAAAAGTTGGCTCACATTCACGCCATGGATGTGCCCCTCAAAAAGACCGGAACCGATATCTCTGAATGGTTGGACGACTTCTACAATAAAGCCAATAATTTGTTTGATTTAAAATCACTGATCAATGAATGCAATTGCGAGACATTAAAGAAATACGATTTGAACGCAGAGTTACAATGGCTTAAGAAGACGATCGTTGAGATCAACTCTCCGGTGATGTTCACTCACGTCGACTTCAGAGGAAGCAATATAATGGTCACAGAATCCGATGGTTTAGTGATCATAGACTACGAGTACTCCTCCTATACATACCGGGGCTTAGATTTTGGGACTTTATTCGCCGAATGGGACAGATTTTGGGCCGATTTCACTCGATTACAGGACTTTCCCAACGATACGACTATTAAGACATTCATTGACGCCTATATCGAGGAATCGATTCGTTTGAGAGGCGATCACTTCAGGAGAGACCAGAGAAACACATTTCAACACATCTTAAAGGAGACAAAAGTGTTTTCATTGGTCTCTAATATGTTCTTCGTTTTGGTTACCATTAAATCCAATGAATCAATGATTTCCGGACTTGACTTTGATATCAGCAAGCAATTGGTAATGAATTACTGTATAATTACTTGCATTATAAATCATTATAATTGTATTTATTTTATTCCAGGTATTTGTTGAGAGCCAATATAAAAACTATTATCACTTAAAAGACAAGTTTCTCAAAGAAAAAGCATTTTAATGTAATCAATATAATTAAATGAATTTATTCGAGATTGTAATTTAATTAGAAATAAGTTGTATTCACAAAATCATATTAAATAATCATGAAAACAACTGTATTTTATAGTTTACTAATAAATTTACCTAATGACCTAATGTACCAGGTGATAACTTAGCCACTGGAAGTATGACCGATTGATTCTCTTATACCCATTTCACTGTTGAATAAGATTTAGAAGTTTGATAATAAAGTCTTTTAAAAGTTTATTTTAAAAAAGTAAAATAAAATGTACAAAAAANTTAAAATATAGCTATAATTAAAAATTCATTCACTTTCAAGTGCATGCTCACTTAATGACAGTCAAGTACTACTAGTCTGTTAAGAATACTGTATTCCTAATGCACTTAATCTACTATTACTTCATAATTTTATTATATAAATAAGAGTCAAATTAAATGTTAGATAAAAATTACTGTAAATGAAAAGAAATTTACTGTATACAAATTTTAAAATTAGAATATAACTAGTATGTCAATTAAAATGACTAAAAATTCAAATGACCAGGCTCAAGAGTTTATGAAACTAGAGTTAACGAGAGGCGTAACTCCGGTTGATATTAAAGAGAAGTGCTTTCAATTATGTGTCGATTATTTGGGTGGCATTTGGCTGAACCTAACCATTGATGACATTGAAGTCAAACGAATAACCTCTGGTCTTACGAATCAGCTATACTATTGTGGTGTCAATGAAAACCATCGAAATAGCGATGAAAGTGTACCACAAGAGGTGGCCATCAGATTGTACCAGGATAAACATTTCAATAGTAATGGTGGTAACGAAAGACTCAGCGATACTATCATCGCTCTACAGGTGTCTCAAAATAATTTGGGACCAAAAATATACGGACTATTCGAAAGCGGACAGATTTTGAAATACTATAATGTATTCATTGAAAATAAAAATGTATTTTAAATTAATTCTAATATTTCTTGTATTTGTTGACAGCAAAGACCCTTTCGATCGGATGAGCAAAAGAATCCCAAACTTGTCAGAGAATTGGCTCAAAAGTTGGCTCACATTCACGCCATGGATGTGCCCCTCAAAAAGACCGGAACCGATATCTCTGAATGGTTGGACGACTTCTACAATAAAGCCAATAATTTGTTTGATTTAAAATCACTGATCAATGAATGCAATTGCGAGACATTAAAGAAATACGATTTGAACGCAGAGTTACAATGGCTTAAGAAGACGATCGTTGAGATCAACTCTCCGGTGATGTTCACTCACGTCGACTTCAGAGGAAGCAATATAATGGTCACAGAATCCGATGGTTTAGTGATCATAGACTACGAGTACTCCTCCTATACATACCGGGGCTTAGATTTTGGGACTTTATTCGCCGAATGGGACAGATTTTGGGCCGATTTCACTCGATTACAGGACTTTCCCAACGATACGACTATTAAGACATTCATTGACGCCTATATCGAGGAATCGATTCGTTTGAGAGGCGATCACTTCAGGAGAGACCAGAGAAACACATTTCAACACATCTTAAAGGAGACAAAAGTGTTTTCATTGGTCTCTAATATGTTCTTCGTTTTGGTTACCATTAAATCCAATGAATCAATGATTTCCGGACTTGACTTTGATATCAGCAAGCAATTGGTAATGAATTACTGTATAATTACTTGCATTATAAATCATTATAATTGTATTTATTTTATTCCAGGTATTTGTTGAGAGCCAATATAAAAACTATTATCACTTAAAAGACAAGTTTCTCAAAGAAAAAGCATTTTAATGTAATCAATATAATTAAATGAATTTATTCGAGATTGTAATTTAATTAGAAATAAGTTGTATTCACAAAATCATATTAAATAATCATGAAAACAACTGTATTTTATAGTTTACTAATAAATTTACCTAATGACCTAATGTACCAGGTGATAACTTAGCCACTGGAAGTATGACCGATTGATTCTCTTATACCCATATCACTGTTGAATAAGATTTAGAAGTTTGATAATAAAGTCTTTTAAAAGTTTATTTTAAAAAAGTAAAATAAAATGTACAAAAAAGTCTACGACACCCGGTATTCCCAGGTGGTCTCCCTCCCAAGTACTAACCGGGCTCGACGCTGCTTAACTTCGGGGATCGAACGAGAACCGGTGCTTTCAGCGTGATATGGCCG